AGGGGGGATGGTCACGCCGCAATCCCTTCTCCTCCATTCTCCTCTCGGGATCTTGGGCACGCACGCACACGCGCCCGGCGTGAGTTTTAAGCCACCAGGTCCGGGACATGAACCGCGGTCGACTACGTGGGAGTCCAGCGACATAGCCATTACGCTAACTGCTGGTTCCCAAAAGTAATTCTTTTTTAAGAAAGAGTAAGCACTCAATAAATATTTGTGAATAAATTATGGGGGTGGGGTGTATCTTTTTTTTTTTCTTTTTGAGAGGTTTTTGCTACAGGGCGCGTGTACTCGCCAGAAAGACAGAGCGAGACAGAGAGATAGAAAGTGAGAAATCACCCCCTAGGAGGATGGCCACACCGCAGTCCCTCCCTTCTTTTCTGTTCTCCTCCCAGGATCCTGGGCATGCACACACATGCGCCCAGTGTAAGTTTAAGCCACCAGGTCCAGGACTTGAACTATGGTCGACTACATGGGAGTCCAGCAACATAGCCATTATGCCAACAGCTGGTCCCAAGGGGGCAGGGTGTGTCTAAAGCCCTAGGTAGATCACTGGTGCCAATGGGTGAGGCGAGGTCAGGGAATCTTCACATGGCAGAGAATAAGTCGTGAATGTGTTTTATGTTTCATTCAGTGGACATGAAGAGGATGTCCAAGATGCAGAAATGGCTTATACAGAGCCGAAGTGGTGGGGAAAGCAAGGTAGCCTGGGGTCCAGGAGAAGATAGATTGGGGGGAGGCAGGTCTTGCAGGGAAGTCAGAGGAAGGGCCGGAGTGGACTGGGGCCAGGCTGAGAGGCTTTGTGGTCACCTGAATGAAAGATCCTCGGTGGCTATGCTAGAGGGGTTACCCCAACATGAAGATATTAGTGCCAAAACGAGTCCAAGGTGGACTTTTAAGCACTGTAGCAAGCTGTAGAAACTGCAGGGTGCGGTACAGAAGGTGTAGGGGGTCTGAGCTACAAAGGCTGGATTAGAACTGAGAGCCAGAGAGAGGAAGAAAGGGCTGAGACCCTTGAAGCCCCTGACCAGTCTCCAGCTCTCATCTCTGAGGTGCCAGCCTTGCTTCCCCACTGCCTATCAATTCACAGGATTACAGGTACACACATTGGTGACTTATTTTGAAGTCTTTGCTGGGATGACACTTGCTTTCTGAGTAAGAGAAGGAGAAAATTACTCTCCTCTGAGGCAGCTTTCAAATCAGAGCTGTATCTTCTGCGGAGCCAGAGGGGTTTGGGGTTTTAGGGAAGCAGGGCAGGGGCTGCCACTTCACTCCAGAGACTCCTGGGGCACAGAGCTGCCTGCTCACCTCCACTTACTTCTTGGAGTGGGGTCCCAGACCTGGCAGGGTCTGGAGCAGTCAGAGATTCTCAGCACCAGAATGGCTTCCTGGATTACCCAGTCAGCTCTTCGACTGTAGGGGCAGGAGGAGGGTTCTGTCCTGGTGAACGGAGAGTCCCGGCTCCTGGGCATCTGCTCCCCCTCTGGGAGTGGGGCGAGCTCAGCTGGCGCGAGAGCCCAGGTGGATGGAGACAGCAGCAGAAAGTGGTTTGATGTGAGCTACTTTCCAGCTCCAAACTGAGGCCTCCAGCCTGCCCACCACCCCCAGCAGAGGCCTTTGATCCTCCACAGCTCCATAAATGTTTAATGCCACCGGCTGGGCAGAAATGAGGCAGGTGCTGGAACAGGGAGACCGGAGAGAGAACTTAAGATCCACAATGTTGGCTAGATGACTTTCACATCGGAGCCTGCGATGGGTGGGAGGAGGCCTTCTCCCTCCATGTGGCAGAAGTCCCAGGGATCGAGTTTGTGGCACTAATAACGAAAACTTGCTGAAAACCACCAAGGTGCTGAAAATAAAATGAATAATCAATTACAAAAGCCCAATCCCTGGTTTGCTTGAAGGAGAAAGATGGAAAGTTAAATGACAATCAAATGCAAATACAGCTCAACAAACACCACAGCAATTACCAGGCACAGGAACCACATGGTGCTTGCAGGCAGCGGGGGTTGGCAATTTGGAAGCCTGGGCTTGTGCAGAGGTGACAGGCGTGGGGCCATTTTAATGGACAGTTAAATATATGCAAAAAACCCCGCATCTACTTTGCATACACCGCTGATGAGGGGTAGCCAGAATCCTGGCATCCAAAACGACGTTGTGCTACCTTCTGTAGCTGCCTCCGCATCGTTTCAGAAAGGAAGAGGCCCTGAGAGCCTGGGGGGTGAGGCAGACGTGAGCACCCAGATCAGAGCACTGACTGAGAGGGCCCTGCTGGTCTCTGGAGTCATCACGCTGGTTGGAACAGAGGGTGCAAAGGCTGAAGTTGAAGGGAGCCTGTGAAATCTTCCATGAAGAGATCAGTGCCCTGGTCTTCCAACAGCCCAAGGGCCCTGGTAAGAGTGGCCTTCTCCTCTCGATTTGCATAATGCTTTGCATCTCATTTGAATGCTATTAATTTGGTGTCAAGCTAGGTTGGCATGATGTAGGAGAGAGAACAGCTGGCCTTCTTCCTCTCCTCTGGACCTCAAGGCTTACTCTGAGCATTGCCTTCCCCAACTTGGGGCGGGGGCATGAGGCCTCCGCTTCCACTACCCTCTCAATGTTCCCTGACCCTTGGTGAATCTTAGAGAAGCCAGCTCCTAAAAGCCAGGGCTGCCTTGGCAGTGTGGCCACCTGCAGAGTTATGTTGAAGGAAGCAGAAAGAGTCCCCCAAGGTCATTCTTACCAGACCCAGAGACACCAAGGGAGGATGCTAGGAGCCTCCATCTCCCCAAGCAATCAGGGCAGCTTGACTTGGAAAGTGGCCAAAGATAATAACTAGGAAAGGAGGCAAGAAAGACAGGTGATAATCCCAGAGAATATAGAGGACTCTAGAAATAAAAGCCTCCGAACTCAATATTTCTGGTGCTTGAACTTACATAAAGTACATCTGTCCAGAGGTCTTCGGTTTATGGTACTGTTCTGGGGCTGGGGATCTGGTGCTAGGCTGGTGGTCATTTGATGGAGTGGGTCATCTGGTGGGGTGAGCTCCTGAGAAGAGGTCCTGGCATAGCCTGTGGGGTGCTGGTCCTGGCAGGTGGGCATCAGGGGGCTTCAGTGAGCTGGGGTGGGGATGGTGAGCAAAGCTAGAAAGCCCCACTGGCTTCTTGCCTAGGTGGCTCGACTGGGAATCTTGGTCAATAGACCAGAGAGGGGCTGGGCAGAGGAGCAGCAGGAAAACATGACACTCTGAGAGGCAGGCCCACATGGGGAGGTTACCACTTTGAGACCTCCCTGAATACACCAGGCATGACAGGTCCATAACCTGGACTGGCTGAAGCTGGGGGTGGATCATGGCACCAAGATCTTGTCAGGGGTGCTATATCTCTCTTTCTGTGTCTCACTCATGGAATAAATACAATTATATTTAAAAAATAGGCTGGAGAGTATTTATGCATAAGACCAACAAGGGCACTCCTGGCAAAACTGTTCTCCTTTGGTGAGGGAGAATCCTTTTACCCCCACAAGATCCTAGGGCCAGTTCCCCCCACTTCTGGGGACCAGGGGAAGGGTGGAGGAGGCATGAACAAATACCCCAGCCAGTTGACCTCACACCTCTGTCCTGACAGCGCTCACCCAGGACCAAAAACCAGGGCTGAGAGCAAACGAATTCTCCCCATTTTTTAATGCCAGAGACAAGATTGGGGGTTGTTTTGAATAATATGAGAAGATAATTGTGTTTTCCCCTTTGAGCAAACCCAGGCACGAAGCTCTGCAATTACATAAGGGACAAACTCATAGCTGATTCACGTTTTACAGAAACGCTTTAAGTATTTCCTCTTTAAAATGATTGCCACATGCATTTAAAACAGATGCACAAAAATTCCGAATATTCCTTCTTTGAGGGGGGGAGTCAGCCCCGGAATCTAGTGGGCTTTTCCTGACTCCTAAGAATAAGACAGCAACCTCATTGATTATTTGCTGTTAGTGGAGAGTAAGCTGAGGAGGTTAACTTCATTCTCACAGCAATCCTGTGAGGTAGATATTGTTACTGTCCCCTGTGCACAGAGCAGGAAACTGAGCCTCCCAGAGGCTCAGGGATGTGTAGGTAGTTAGAGAAACTCAATAGACTCCCAAGGCAGGGCGGGCAGGCAGGCGGGGACGCTCATGGACCTTTTTAGGCACAGGCAGGGGGTGCAGCACAGGTTCCCCAGCTGCTGCCCGGGGTTTGCCTGCCAGAGGCCGGTGCCAAGATGATCTCTCCTGCTGCAGAGCGTGGAGGGTGGGCTGCTCGGAACAGGCAGGGCAGAGTTGGTGACTTCTTAATTTATTCAGTTGACAAATATTTATTAAATACCCACTTTGGATCCCCAGCTAAGTGCTAAGTGCTGAGGATCCAAAGGTGAGTAAAAACAGACACCGCTGCTGCTTTTGCAGAGCTGGAGGTCTAGCGTGGGAGCTGGTGCAGAACCACCTGACTGAATGCAAAGCTGCAGCAGAACCTGTGCTTGGAAGGAGCGGCTCGCAGGGCGGGGACTGGGAGGCTTACGTGGTGGATCTGAAGGCTTCTCTGAGGAGGCAGTGATTGAGTAAAAAGGCAGAAGTCGAGCGTGACTTATTTGACTAGAGAGGGATGGGAAGGGTGTTTGTGCACAGGGAACAGTACGTGCTCGGCTGGGAAGGACTAAGAGCTGGTTAGTATGACTGGGTGGCAGCGAACAGGAGGCTGGACTGCCGCCAGGGAGCTGGGCCGGTGGAGAACTCCACATCTTCAGGGATTGTACTGGGTCTCTAGACTCCCTCCTGATGGCCCATCTGTCTAGTCGGTCCTTCGTCTTTCACCCTACCCTCTACCTGGGTCACTCATTACCTCTCCTTGTGCATTTACCAAATGAGGGAGTGTTTACTGAGCACCTCGTGTGTGCTGGGCCAGGAACCACAAGGCACTTGCAGGCAGGAGAAGTTGGTTACTACGAGGCAGGCTTCAGGACAGACAGCCCTCATGGGGCTCCCAGCTGGGGAGAGGAGACACTCTCCACACACTGCGAAACAGCATGTCTGTCTCCGCAGGCTACTTGAACAAGGCTTGGGAAGTCCTAGAAGCCGAGTGTCTCCCACAGTTCAAGCCTCCCAAGGCGAGGGTGCATCATCTGCTCCTGGGAGCAACCTGTTGCCTGGATCTTCCTGGCATCGAACTCTATCCCTTCCTGCTGTGAAAAGTAGGCCTACTTCCTAGAGTCATGAGGTGGTGGGGAACGCTACTGATGTTCCTTTTCTTTTCTCTTTTCTCTTTTTCTTTATTCATGATAGAGCACATGCACACATGAGAGTGGAAGAGAGCGTGAAGTCTGGTCACCCCACAATCCCCTTCCTCCAGTCCTCCGGCCTGTCAGATCTTGGGCACTGACGCACACACCTGTCTTGTTTCAGGCTGACCATGCCTGAGACTCGAACCGTGGTCACCATGTGAGCTCTGGCTTCCCTTGAGCAGTGTAGTACCGCTGTACCATGGAGTCTGCCATGTGGTTCCTGTTTACTGACCCTTCCTTTGGGTCTCAGAGGCATCACAGTTCCAGAACTCAGGTGACCTGCCAGGAGAATGGGGTCCTGATATCAGAACTTGATATCCTGATATCAGAACTCAGCTTCAGACACACCTCTAAGCCACGTCCTCTTCTGAGCCTAAAAACAGGACAGAAATCCTGAGCATCCCTCAATTCTAGCCATGCATTCTCACCCATCACTCCTCCTTGAACTATTTGTCCTCTGCTTGTGACATCACAATGGTCTCTATGGCAACTCATCTGTGAGGTCACTAGTCCTTAAAGCAACAGAATCTGCAGGTCTAGACAATGGCCCAGAGGAGAGAGGGAGAAGGAACGATGGAGGCCCCAGGTGGAAAACATTTTCTACTGGGGAAGCCTGCAGAGGGAGGAGGACTCCTCTTCTCAGCCCAGCTGCAGTGAGGCCATGTTAGTAGTGTGCAAGAGCAAGGCCTGCTAGAAGGGGAGACCGCTCATCAGAGGCTGAGGACATCCTGAACAGGGCCCAGGCGTTGAGGTCAGGCCTGAGGAAAAGCCATCACAGCCTTACTCTTGCCTTGGGCAAGCTTCTGAAGGTCTTTGAACTTCCTCTTCTTTACCTGTGAAAGAAAAGTGGTGCCATTTGGCTTTCAGAAGTATTCGTGAGATAACCTGTAGGAGAGGTTGGCACATAGTAGGTGCTCAATAAATACTCATTCTATTCATCTTCCTATCTCTCAGTCTTTAGCCTAGAGTCTTGCTTATTTGTTATGCTTCATTAGTGCCTTTTAAAAAAAATGTTTATTTCATTTTATTTATCATCATTATTATTATTATTTTAATTTGCTACCTGGCACACATGCTTGCCAGAGAGAGAGAGAGAAGTGGGGAAAGCAAGCCATCAGGTCTGGGACTGGAACCATGGTCGGCCATGTGGGAGTCCAGTACCCTTAACCACCACGCCACCTGCCAGCCCCCATTAGTGTGTCTGATGGTAAATACAGCATGAGGATTAGAGGACAGTGTCTAGAGCAGGCTAAGTCAGTGGTTCTGAATTCAAATCCTGTCTCTGCTACTAACCAGTTGTAAACCTTTGAACACATCAGCACACTTCTCTGTGCCTCAGTGTTTTGTTTTATTTTGAGAGGTTTTTGCTATAGGGCGCGTGTGCTCGCCAGACAGAGAGAGACAGAGAGGCAGAAAGCGAGAAATCACCCCCCAGGGGGGATGGTCACGCCGCAATCCCTTCTCCACCATTCTCCTCTTGGGATCTTTGGCACGCACGCACACGTGCCCGGCATGAGTTTTAACCACTGCGTCTGGGACGTGAACCGCGCTTGACTACGTGGGAGTCCAGCGACACAGCCATTACGCTAACTGCTGGTTCCCTCTGTGCCTCAGTTTTAACTTAAAATGGGAGATAGTAATATTAATGGCATTGTCTCCATAGAGTTCTTCAGGCTAAATGAGACGCTGAAAATGAGTAGCACAGCCTAGTAGTGGCAGGTGTACAGTGGAAGGTGGTGATTTTGCAGTCTTGAATGAGGCCTTTAAAAATTATATTTAATTAATACCATTTGTTATTATTTTCATTTGATCAGAGAGATACAGAGAGCGAGAGAAAGGGAAAGTGAGAAAGCCAGACACCAGGTCCAGGACTTGAACCACGGTCAGACAGGTGGGAATCCAGTGTCTTTAACTGCCATGCCACCTGCTGGCCCTGAGTGAGGCTGTTTTTACACAGGCCATACAGTTTCTGTTCTTTCAGGAAATGTGAGTTAATCTGTGAGGTGTCCAGAACTGGAGAGTGGGTGGCCTCGAGAAAGGGCCACTGGAGGCAGCCTGCCCAGGAAGGGATCACCATTCCCTTCCTGGATCCCCCCAGTGTGGATACCACGTAGTGCTACCTGCTCATTCCATTGGTGGTTAAGGGCACTGGACTCTCATATGGCCGACCATAGGCTCCGGGTGGTCCTCATGGGCAGCGCTGGCCACGTCTCACTCATCTGAAGCTTAGGCCAGGGCCCGTGACACTGGCAGAGGCTCAGCAACAGCTCAGGTGAGCTGAGTTAGATGATGTCTCAGTAACAACCTGGCTGGGCTGGCCCTGTAGCCTGGTATTTAAAAGAGCTGGATCCCACATGGCCAACCACAGTTTGAACCCTGGCCCTAGCAGCTTGAAAATACGCCAGACTTGTGTGCACGTGTGCCCCAGTCCTAACAGGATGGACAAATGAGATTGAGTGTGAACTGGGGGGCTTTCTCCCTCTCTGTCCCTCCCTCTGGTGAGCACACACACCCTCTGGCAGTTAGAAAAACACTTATTGGTTAACAGATATTCTCTCTCTTTCTCTCTCTCTTTTTTGCTATAGGGCACGTGAGCTCACCAGAAAGACAGAGAGACACAGAGAGACAGAAAGCGAGAAATCACCCCTCAGAGGGGATGGCCATGCTGCAATCCCTTCTCCTCCATTCTCCTCTTGGGATCTTGGGCACACACGCACACGCGCCTGGTGTGAGTTTAAGCTACCAGGTCTGGGACTCGAACCATGGTCGACTACATGGGAGTCCAGCAACACAGCCATTACGCTAACTGCTGGTCCCAACAGATAATCTCTACCTAACCTGTGCTATCCTCACAGCAACCAATGAAGTACATTTGTTGTTGCCCATTTTGAACAACAGGAAGCAGAGCTGAGATTTTTTTTTTTTTTTTTTTTTTTGGAGAGGGTTTTCACTATAGGGCGCGTGCACTCGCCCGACAGACAGAGAGTGATATAGAGACAGAAAGCGAGAAGACACCCCCCAGGGGGGATAGTCACGCCACAATCCCTTCTCCTCCATTCTCTTCCTGGGATCTTGGGCACACACGCACATGTGCCCGGCGTGAGTTTTAAGCCACTGGGTCTGGGGCACGAACCACGGTCGACTACGTGGGAGTCCAGCGACATAGCCATTACGCTAACTGCTGGTTCCTTACATTTGTTTTTTATATCACTGTTTTAAATTATTTACTTGGCTCAGAAAGACAAAGAGAGACAGAGAGAAAGTGAAAAATTACCCCCACCCCCCGAGTTGGCCACGCTGCAATCCCTTCTCCTCTATTTTCCTCTTGGGATTTTGGGCACACATGTACTTGGACCTGGCATGAGTTTCAAGCTGCTGGGTCCAGAACTCACACTGTGGTTACTTGCTGGCCCCCCAGAGCTGAGAATTTTTAAAAATTTCTCCCATGAGCAAGAAATACACACACAGAGAGAGAGAGAGACACCTCCACCTGATTCACGCCCAACTTTAGCCAGCCTCTGATCATGGGCACATCCTGTCTAGCGTACTCAGGGAGGTCTCTGGATGAAACTCAGAACCTCTCCGCGTGGGTTGTCCTCACAGAATGCTGTGTTTCACCACGGCACCTGTTTTACCACACAGCCCCTGGAGCCCGAGTTTGCACCCAGGCTACCTGGCTCTAGAACCTACACTCTTAACTCTCACATACCCAGCCCCATGGATCCTGTTCATCCCTTTGGCCACCACCCCAACTTTCCCACCCACTCCTCTCCTCTTCCACCTGAACTTGAGCCCAGTTCCACCCAAAGAATGCAAATGCTCCCCCCCCCTTCATGAAATAAAGCTGTGTCTGGCACCGCCACAGCCGAAGCCACCACTGGATCCCTTGCTTATTTCAAGTCTTCCTAAAGCTTGTTGAGTTCTTAACTTATTAAAGATAAGCACATGGAAATAGGGAGCAAATCTCTTTATTTATGACATAATCTCCAGCCCAGAAAAGCGGCAGGAACAGTGTTGCCTATATTAGGGAACCAATAGGAAAAAAAATCAATTAGATCCGCCAGAGCGTTTCACTATTAACTTTCTTCTGATGTTTCTCTTAAGGCTGGCCACAGGGGTCTCTGTGAGTGGCCCAGCCGGAGGACAGACGAAAGCTCTGTCAGAGCAGAGGAAGAAATGTCACGAGGAAGGTGGAGGAACAGGCTCCTAGACAAACACAGAGACTCTCTGGCCCTATCCTTCCTGCTCTCAGACCTCAGCCCGGAAGCCCTCATGCTGGTTTAATCTCCATGTTTCTTGCTGCAATTTCCGCTGCCGTCTTCAGGGGTGGCGAGAATCCATCTTTGATTCTTGCAATCTTGAGCCCCAAGTCTGACCACGTTAGCTTTGCTGAGGACAAGATCCTCTTCTTTCTAGAAGAACAATATTCCGGAGGAGCTCTTGTTGACAGATTTCAAGCAGAATCTTCTGCTAGTCCACACTGCCTCAGACCTACAGCCACCATCAGTCCTCACGGCCATCTGCCTGCCTCTGGTCACTTCAAGACATCTCCCACAGACAGGACCCTATTCCTGAACGCCTCCAGTGAGGGGGAGTTTCTTGCTTGTTGGTAATCCTAGATTTCATCTCCTCAAAGGCGGGGGTCATGGCTTGTTCCATAGTTTGTCCTGAGTCAATAATTGAATCAATAACTATTCTAATAGCTCCATTAAGCCAGTGTGGTGGCGCATGCTTGTAATCCCAGCTACTCGGGAGTGTAGGGTGGGGTGATCTGAGTTTGAGGCCAGCCTGGGCAATGTAGGGAGAGCCTGTGTCTCTAAAACAAAACCCCAAAGCTCCTTGGATTGAATAAATCACTCTATGCCAGGGCTGAGAAGGGCAGGCACCTTGTTATATGAAGCAGAATCCCTCTACTGCTCCCTGAACCAGAAGATACCAAAAAGAGTCTTCCAGTTTTTTGTTCTGTCTTTTTTTTGGCCAGGAGCAACTGTAGCAGCAGCTCTGAGACACGGGTATTGCTATTCCCTTCTTGCAGAGGAGGAAGCCGACTCGGGAGAAGTAATTGCCCAGGCTTATCTGTGCATCGGATGTGCTATGTCCACTCACTCGTTTCCCTCATTACGAAGCTCTTCTTGAGGTCTAACCTAGACCTTTCCTGTTGCCGTGACCCTGGCTCCTTCTCAGTCCTGTGGAGGCAGAGCATGGTATCCCTGCCCATGCCAACTTTTCTCACTTTAGGAATGTCCACCAGCTCTTTGCATGTTACTGACTCAAAATGAATATTAAACACCAAACCTCACAGAGGCCAGCCCTGCAGGGCAGGCAATGAACCAACCCTTCTCATGCCTGTTCATTATTATAATTAATATTGAGCCAGATTGGTGGCAACCTCGCCCTCGCCAGGTATTTGGGCTATTTTAGAGGCTTATTCAGATCAATGACAGACAGCTCCAGATAGATAAACTCCCCGCCATCCAGACGAATCAATTGCAACACTGCCGTCACAACAAGCCCAAGAAATCAATCTGATTTCAGGCGACATGGTAACTCAGCGCTGGGCAAGCTGGTTTTAATTTCCGTGTGACTGAGACCCAGCTTCCTCTGCTCCCTGGAGCACCCCCCTTTCCTAGCTGGTGTTCCATGCACACAGGTACCCAGGGCCCTGGGAGGCTCAGGCCAAGGCAGGTAGCCACATGGAGGACAGGGTGCCTGGGGAGCTGTGTAACTTTGAGGAAGGCTCTTGAACCCCCAGACCCAAAAGGAGCTGACTCAGATCCGCTGCTGGAATCCTGGTTTTGCTGGCTTCAGCTCCGATTTTTCGCTGCCCTCTGCAAAAACCCAGCCTGGAGGCCTTTCTGGGCTGCCTCCCAATCAGGGCACTGCCGAGGTAGGCTGCCTACCTCAGGTACCGGGCAGCTGCCCTTCCTGGGCTTGGAGGTTGAGTTTATCTGAAGGGCAGGAGAAAGGTCATCGGGATGGATATAGTCATTTATTGGGTGCTGTGTTGTGCCTAAACGCTATGCTCAATGCTTTACACACCTTGTCTTCTTAACCCCCTAGCAGCCCAGAGACACAGGTAGCAATTATCCACATTTTTTAGGAGTGGAAACCAAAGCTCAGAGAGGTTATGTCACTTGGTCTGAAGCACACAGCTTATAAGTAGCAGAGCCTGAGGTCCACCAAGTGGTGTGGTGATTAAGGTGCTGGACTACGACATGGCCGACCGCGGTTTGAATCCTGGACCTAGCATCTTGCTTTCTTACTTCCTATCTTTCTCTCTGTCTCTGGTGAGCACATGTGTCCTATAGCAAAACAGTAAAAATAATACTAACAAATAAAATAAAATAAATATTTTTTAAAGAATTATTTTATTTAACTTTATTTATTTTTTATATTTGACCAGAGAGGGACAAAGTTAGAGAAAGAGAGAGAGAGAAAGCAAGCCACCAGATCAGGGACTCAAACTGCGGTCTGCCATGTGGGAGTCTAGTGCCCTTAACCACATACCACCTGCCTGCCTCTAAATAAATAATTCTTTTTTTTTTTTTTTTTACTGTGAGGGAACTTTATTTAGTCATTTTCTTCACAACTGAAACTCTGGGAATTCAAAATTAAGATCCTTGCCCGTGAGCTTCTTCTTTTTTTTTTTTTTGGAGAGGTTTTTTTGTTCACTATAGGACGCGTGCGTTCACCAGACAGACAGAGAGAGACAGAGAGACAGAAAGAGAGAAATCACCCCCGCAGGGGGGATGGTCATGCCGCAATCCCTTCTCCTCCATTCTCCTCTCAGGATCTTGGGCACGCACGCACACACGCCCGGCGTGAGTTTTAAGCCACTGGGTCTGGGACGCAAATCTCGATCGACTACGTGAGAGTCCAGTGACATAGCCATTATGCTAACAGCTGGTTCCCAACCCGTGAGCTTCTTGTAGACACCAGAGAAAGTTTTGACCTTGTGTTCCACGTTGTTCTGCTGGGCCCTGTCCAGGTGGACCTTGATGAGCTGGCTGCCGTCCAGCTTCACACGGATCCTCTTGCCCACGATCTCGCTGGGGAAGACCAGGTCCTCCAGGACGGCGTCGTGCACGGCGCTCAGGGTGCGGCTCCTGGGACGCTTTTGCTTATTTTTCGTAAGGCTTTTTCGAGTTGGCTTAGGCAGAATTCTCCTCCGAGCAATAAAGACCACATGCTTCCCACTGAGCTTCTTCTCCAGCTCGCCAACGAGCCGCACTTGGATCTTCTGGAAGGACGTCAGTTGAGGGACAGGAACAAAGATTATGACAGCTTTCTAACTACCACCAACTTCAATTTCCTTGGCCGCCATGATGTTTAGCTCCCTGAGCTGCGCCTTCAGGTCCGAGCTCATCTCCAGCTCCAGCAGGGCCTGGGAGATGCCCGACTCGAACTTGTCCGGCTTCTTGCCATTGGGCTTCACGATCTCGGCGCTCGAGCTGAACATGCCTGTTCCTCGATGAGTGCCAGCTGAGGAAGAGCAATAAATACTTTTTTTTTTGAGAGTTTTTATTTCCAGACAGACAGAGAGAGACATAGAGACAGAAAGCGAGAAATCACCCCCCAGAGGGGATGGTCATGCCGCAATCCCTTCTCCTCCATTCTCCTCTCGGGATCTTGGGCACGCACGCACACGCGCCCGGTGTGAGTTTTAAGCCACTGGGTCCGGGACGCGAACTGCGGTCGACTACGTGGGAGTCCAGTGACATGGCCATTACGCTAACTGCTGGTCCCCAGCAATAAAAAATTCTTTAAAAAAAAAAAAAGTGGTAGAGGGGCTGGCAGGTGGCATGGTGGTTAAAGGCGCTAGACTCCCACATGGTTGACCGCAGTTCGAGTTCCTGACCTGGTGGCTTGCTTTCTCACTTTCTCTCTAATTCTGTCCCTCTCTGGTCAAATTAAAATAAATAAATAGATAAAACAAAGTTCAATAAAAAAAATGGGGTAGAGCCTGAATTTGAACCCAAATCTTTTTTTTTTTTTTTTTGGAGAGGTTTTTGCTATAGGGCACGTGCGCTCGCCAGACAGAGAGAGACAGAGAGACAGAAAGGGAGAAATCATCCCCCAGGGGGGATGGTCACGCTGCAATCCCTTCTCCTCCATTCTCCTCTCGGGATCTTGGGCACGCACGCACACGTGCCCGGTGTGGGTTTTAAGCCACCAGGTCCGGGATGCAAACCACGATCGACTACGTGGGAGTCCAGTGACATAGCCATTACGCTAACTGCTGGTCCCAACCCATATCTATTTATCAGGTTCCCGTGCCTAAGCTTTAGCCACCATGTTGTCCTAAAGGTGACAGTGGAGGTGCCCCCCAGGGGGCTGCCTGTTAAATGGAGCAGAGCTTTTCCTCCAGGCTGTAGGGGAAGGGGAGCCTCCTCTCTCTCACATCCTCACAATCACTGTCCCTTGAACTCTTACCTTCATGCTTCAGGTACTGAGTTGATGGTGTTGAGAAGATGAGATGGTCAGGAGGCTGATCTGCCACCTCCCCAACACCCCCTCCCTGCACCCTCCCCTGCCCCATTATTCTATTTAGGTGATGAGGGTTGGGGCTGGGACAGGCAGCGGTGTGGTGGGGGATGTGGCTATACAATAGCACCCATGCCACAGGCTGAGGCTTGGAATGAAACGTGGCCTGTGAAGTAGGTGTGGAGTAGGTGCTCAGTGTGTGTTGGCTCCCTCCACCTGGTGTGGAGTAGGCGCTCAGTGTGTGTTGGCTCCCTGTCCCTTTCCCGTCCCAGCTCTTTTGAGCCCCATGCCTTGGGTGTCCAGTCCTGCAAGCCTCAGGTCAGGGCTTCTCAGATAGGCACTAGCTAAGGAAGTCTAGTTGGGAGACACCCTATGAGGACGCAAGGAAATATAGTAGATAAAAGGGGCCCTCAGAGCCAAGAGCCCTTCCATCTGAACCTCTCTCACCCTAGCCCCATAGCAGCCCTTCGGGTGGTTTTGCCACTAGCCACCAGCCCCGTAAGCCTGCTCTGGATTTAGAGCATGACAATTTAGGTGCTAAAGGGGCAGAGCTGCTCCTGGCTACAGGGAGGCCCCAGATCATTGGCTCTGGGGTGGGGTGAGGGTGGGCCTTATGGCAGGGGAGGCACAGATCTGGGGGCCAGATGAACCGGCGTCTGTCTGTCCTGGGGAGCAGCAGGCTTGGGCTGGCTGTCAGGGAAGTGGATCATCAGGCCCAGCACCGATGTCCCCCCATGGGAGGCAGGGACCCTAGGAAACTGAAGTCAGCGATGGAGAGTGACAGACAGTACCACACAGCCAACAAGTGACAGACGCCGAGTCAAACCCAGGACGGCTCGAGAGGGCTGGGCTTACCCTTGGCCATCTCCACAGAGCTGGGGGCCCCTACCCAGGCTTCTGCAGAGAATGACCTATCAGCCCTTTTGCCTACAGAGTACAGACCGGGAGGCCAGAACCTCAAACGCTAGCAGGAAGGAATGGGATTAGCTCCTGGGAAGGACGTCGGACTCATTAGCTTGTCTCCAGGACTGGTGGTTAGCGCGGCAGTGTGATCTCTCTCCGGAGGGGTTTCAGCCTTTCGCGGTTCCGCTGGGCACGTCCTGAAAGCTACGGAGAAGCAAGCTGACCTGCAATGTGTGTGGCTTTGTCTTTTGTCACTTAATTTTTGAATAGGTAATGCCTGTCCGTGGTTTAAAAAATCAGGGTGAAAGGTTGTTGGGTGAAGTCCTCCCCCTCCCCTCCCCAGAGGCTAGCAATGTTATCCCTTCCTGTCTAGACACACACAGTACAAACGAATGCAGACACGGTTTCTCTTTCTCTGGTCCTATTTTTAATACACGGGCGGTAGCTACCCTGCACACTACTCTGAGCTCGCTTTTGTCACCTGACAATATATCTCGGAGATTACTCCGAATCAGTACATAAAGAGCTGCCTTACTCTTAGGTGTCTTTTTATGGTCACAGGCTTCTCGGGGGCTCAGAAGTAATCACATCTGGTTTGATTAGCTTCACATTTCCATTTACGACATCCCCGCCCAGAGAGGGCAGGAAACCTCTCCAAGGTCACGCAGCAAGGACTAGGAACGCGTGCCGGGCTTCTCCCCCTCCTCTGTTCTCAGCTCCTGCCCCCAGCCACCCCGCGGCTGAAGAAGGGAGGGTGCCGTCTCTAATTGAAATGCTCTCCGCGTTGCGGCTAGGCCGAGATCGGATCCCTGGCGGGGTGCGGGTGCTGAGCGCAGGCGGGGCGGTGGGGCGCTGGTGCTGTGTGGAGGGGGCGGGCAGCGGCGGCCGAGCGCCCACGTGGGTGCGGGCGA